AATCTCAACCGCCAAATTTCGTGAACGCACTACGCGGCAAATGTTCCGATACCATCCACACCATCTGGATGCTTGGTTTCAAAAGGAGTTTTCTTCCGCGTACAACCTCTCTGTGGAATAGTTTACCACTGGCGATTTTTCCGGACCGATACGACGTGGGGACCTTCAAGAAAAGAGCTTACTCCTTTCTAAAGGGCCGGCAACGCACCTCAACCTGCAATACGGTAGTCACTTAACAACCTCTTCTATAAAAAAATATTTATAAATAGCAGCTGTTTTGGCTAGCCGCTCACTTAGCGGCCAGCCACCGCAGAGTTTATTTCATCGAGTATTTCACTGATAGTTCGTGTAGAGGCGAAACACGTATCGTATTATTGTCGGTGGTTTATCTTTCCTAGTGCAGTGGTGTTGGGAGTTGTGGTTTTGGGATTTGTGATGATGGGTATAGTGCACGCAATTGAGAGAGTGCGAGAGGTGCTCTTCAAACTAGGCAAGACACATCAATTTAATTCATTAAGCGCATATAGACGAAATAATTCTTACCATCTTTAATAAAATATTATTTGCCAGCTTTTGACTCGCTGCAGAAAATGTGTGTAGTTATTTATGAAGTTGATCGAATCTTTCGTTTTTAGTTAAAAAACTTGAATACCTTGGTATCAGAGACCTCCAGTTGAAACTTCTTCAGAATTTTTTAACAGACAGAACACAATGTGTACAAATGGATAACATCGTTAGCGAAGAAGTCCCTGTTAATTTTGGGGTTCATCAGGGAAGTATTTTGGGTCCAACTCTTTTCCTCATTTAGATAAATGATCTTTGTCAGATTAAATCACAAATACAAAAATAATTACCTTTGCAGACGACACGGCCCTCCTTTTCGGTGGTAGTTCATGGGATGAGGTTTTCTCAAATGCTCAAAAAGGAATGAATATTGTAACAAGTTGGTTATACAAGAACCTTTTAACACTCAATGTTTCAAAGACAAATTATATCACTTTTTCCATTAAAACACTGATAAGCCTGATCCTACACATCGAATTGTTTCACACTTATGTGATAATCCCAATGATACAACCTGTGCATGCCCAAAACTTATAAACACAGACTCAACTAAATACCTAGGCGTAATTATTGACAATAAATTAAGTTTTCACTATCACATTGACCTTCTAACGGCAAGAATACGCAAATTAATGGTAATATTTAAGACCTTGAGACATGTGAGTCAGGAAAAGGTAATAAAATCGGTTTACTTCGCTCTTTGCCAGTCGCAACTTATGTACTCTATCACTTCTTGAGATGGTGCCTGTAAAACACATATACTGAAAATTAAATGAGCCCAAAGAGCACTTTTAAAAATGAGCTCGTTCCTACCATTCGATTATCCAACGTTTGATCTCTATCAAAATTGGAAAGTCCAGACTGTACGACAGCTTTACATTTTATATACCGTCCTTAAAAACTTCCCAGTTAAAATATGAACCAGAGATATTTAGGAATCAGCGCCGCAAGGATAAAGTCTGCAATATTACTTTATACAGAACTAGCCTTACACATCGATTTTTCTGTTACCAACGTAGTAACCTGTATAATGAATTGAATAAGGAACTATCAATATATTCCCTTACAAAAACTAAATGCAAATTTACTGTTGCGGAGTGGTTAAAAAACTGGATTATAACCGTACAAAAGACTTACTCTATAAATATGTTAATATAAACGAGCATACACATAAGTGCAAATACGTATATACGCGCGCGTACACACACACGCACGCACGCACGCACGCACGCACGCACGCACGCACCACACACGCACGCACGCACACACACACACACACACACACACACACACACACACACACACACACACACACACTATATATATGAGTTTACGAAACCAGTTACTTATATCGTAATAATACATTATGATATCATCCTAAGATCTACAGTATCTGTAACGCTCAATTACAAATAATGCTATTATTTATATCTCATGGGGTGGAGACCTGTTGATTTGTAATACAGGCATTTTATTGCCTATCTCAAACACCAGCTCTTTACAGATTCTAGGCTATGAGTATGAACATACCTGTATTCAAATAGATATAAGTTTTTATTGTGTGTTGTCGGTATTTGTGAAAAGAAATAAACGTTATTATTATTTTTAAAAAATCTCGCACGCTTAGACCAAATTACCTTAAAAATTTCGTGAATATTTTTATTACGTAGAAGATGACTTACTCTTTTGATTGACTACCGCATATTTTTCGCGTTCAGATTTTTTTTTTGTAAGAATTTTGCTTATATTTTTAATATAATAATGAAATTAAACCATGTATAGTTGTATGCAAATCCTTTTCTATTATAACCCCAGTTTTAACTGTTAGGTTTATTTTCTCATTTCCAATCGCCGCTTCTTAAAAAGGTAGCAATGGTAACTTCACTATTACTAGCGTACCAACCTGTTTCCCCGGGTCACAGATGACTTTTCGAACACAGTACTTAAAGTGGGTACTTAAGTAATAAGACACACTATATCAACCGCAAGTTCTCAGCTAAATATAAAATAGTTTGGTGTCTGTTTGAACTATTTACTTCCAATTTTGTGATCAAGGTATAATCATTCTTATGTGATAATTTTTCCCAACAAGTGGTGACAAAATGGAGAATGAGTGACAAATGTTGTGATAGAACTTTGTGTTGAACTCTTATCTTACCTACATTTAGAAAATATTAGACTAGACTTAGTATCCATATATAACGTAAGCAAAACAAAATTTGCATATTTCAATAAATATTGAGTACAATAAGTAAGCGTAGCTCTGAGGCTATAATGTCGGGGTGATAGCTTCTAGGCAAAATAGCGTCATGTTCAGATTCACTCATGATGGATGGCACAAATAAGCGTGCGTTGCAACATAAAATACAAGAAAATACAATGAGCAGATCGTAAGCAAATCGTCGCAAGTGTGGTACGCTTCCTGATAATGTTTTTGTCAAAAATCCTGTACAACGCTTTGTTAGAGTAACAACATACCCATAAACCATCTATTCTTGACATATAAGTTTTTTTTTAATTTTTCTAAATTCATCGTAAAATTAGAAAAATTAAAAAAATATATCCCTTATATGCCTATATGTATGTATCCCTATATGTTTGTGTCTTAAATAAAAATAACCTAATTCTTGATTTGATATTATCAAATAAATAGGTCATGTGTTTCAGTGCAGAAAGATAATATAGCATTGATTCCATTAGACAACATCACCCTGCGATTTTAATAGAATTCCAAAAAAAAAATCACAAAGCATATTGAAGTTAAAACCGGAGCAGATATACAACTTTGGTTTGGTTCAGGAATTAAAGACGATTGGCTGGAGTGTTTTATGGCAGTATACAGATGACAGATGTCAATGATATGGTTAATGTATTTAATGAAACAATACTATATTTTTGCCAAAAACATACTCCTTTATCTAAACCGAAAAGTAAGAATTATCTTCCATGGTTTACATCTTCCTTGATCAAAGCTTTTAAAGAAAAAGCGACAGTTCACTGTCGATTTAAAAAATATGGGAACGCATTGTACAAAGTCACTTGCATTAGTCAAAGCTCGTCGTTGTGTTCAACTTATTAAGCAATGTTATGCTAATTTTAAAATGCATGCCGAAAGCCATTTACAAAGTAACCATATATACTTTTGGCAAATATTTAAAAGGAAAAGTCTAATATTTACGCGAACACTACACATTGATTAAAACTACTTTTTTGGATTTTATGGCGTTTAATTTTAATTGATTTTTAATTACCGACGTTTCGGGTGCTTTGCAGCACCTATGGCCCCCGTGACCATGGGTGCTGGAAAGCACCCGATACGTCGGGAATTAAAAATCAATTAAAATTAAACGCGATAAATTCCGTAAAAGTATTTTTAATCAAGGAAAAGTCCAATTCTGCTTCTATACCTAATTAAATGAAATATATAGAAAAGCAGGCAAAGGATGGTAAAGGTGTTATATATTTGCAGAATATTTTCAGTCTGTATATAAAAAAGTGACAATCCGATATGCTCTAGAGATGATTACGTGGAACGATATCGTCCAGCATGTCGCTATGCAGTGGGCATTTAGATGAACATGAGATATGTGGAGATTTACACAATCTCGCGATAGTAACAAGATACAAGTCCCGTTTCTCTTCCTACGATTTTTTTCAAGAACTGCAAGTTGCTGTGTAAACCTCTTTTTAGAATATTTAATAAATCCTTTTCTTCTAGTATCTTTCCTCGTCAATGGAAAGTTGCCAGTATAATACCAATATATTAACCTGGTTATATTGATGACGTAACCAATTATAAACCAATTTCGTTGCTACCTGTTTGTGGAAAAGTATTAGGGGCACTAGTACTGGTACTTCGCTCAGAAAAAGTGAAATTGGTCACAGCTAAGCAACTCTTTCAATTTATTAAAGACATAGGGCTTAACAGCGATCATAATAGGTCTTATACGTCCCAATGATTTAATAATCATCTAATGTACTCGTAAGTGTAGGATGTCAATGGGACATGTTGCTTGTGGTGTAGTGTAGGCATGTGTAACGTTTCGTCTTTCAATGAGCGTTAAAAATGTTATGTAGTAATATTATGTCCTCAACATGAGCACATTCAGATTAATTATATGTGATAGGGATACGTTGGAGCGTACGTATTATAGTTGCAGCGCAAATAGGTCGGCTTGACTAAGGAAGGATCACGCTCGTACAAAATACCTGCGTAAGATAGCAGTAACATAATGCTCCTGTGGTCCATATGATGAGCAACGAGAATCTAAGACGACGTTGCTAATGAGGCACTCTATCGTAGTCTTAGGGTGCCAACGAATCAAGGATAGATATATTTATTAACCTGTGTGTGGTGACAACCAACGCCATGCATCGGGCGGGACGGGATTGCGGTGGAGTAGAATAGAATAGAGTGATTGTTGTGTCGTGCGCAGCGGCGTGGACACACACTTCCTGTCGGCGCAGGAGTGCGTGACGGCGGGCCACTACCAGAACCTGCACCCCAGCGCCTGCCGACACGCCTCCTCGGGATACTTCGGCTCCAAGTTCGTCACCGTATGCGTCACCGGTAACGTATCCAGCTCACTTATTTTTCTATACTCTGTTTTAATGTAACGTAAACAAATAAGCATTTAAAAAAATTGCAATGACATAATGGCAGTATAATGACTACTGAATAGTATATAATAATACTATACAGTATTGTCATTAAACTTGCCCTACAATCAATACACTGTAATACTGTATGTATATGTCCTTAAATTTTTCTTCGTCGTATAGAATGAGGATCGTGAAGAAAGGAGTACAAATAATTATACTTGATAATGGAAGCATACTTTCTGTTCTTGTGTTGGTATTTTGTCGTGGATACTGTCTGGGCGCTATAAATGATGCTTCGTATATAACATACGTCATGGGTTGATAATTAAAAGAAAAATACTCTGATTAAACAGCTTCAAGGTGACAGGTGGCCCAGGACCGTGCTTTGTGGCGTTCCGTGGGGGAGGCCTATGGTTAGTAGTGGACTTGTGAAGGATTGAAGTGATGATGATCATGATCAATCACTACACCGATTAATGCTTGTAGAATGACTGATCAAGTTCGTTGTCTGCGCTGCATTTCATACTACTTTGTATTTTCCACAAACTCACACATGTTCACTTACCCGCGCACGTTGTAATGCTTATGTGATAAAGCTGTATGAAGCTAGAAGTGTTTTTCTTTTATTGAATACTGGCTACAAACGAGCACACAATCCACCTAATGGTAAGTTGATGCTGTGGCGAGTACTACTAAGATAAAATGTTTTGTTTCCAGTAAAAAGAGTCCGGTTTTCTACACTCACCATGTGAAACACAGCAGCTTTGAAGTGCCATAATATATCTAAAGTTTTTTACGTGGTAGGACGATAGTGCAGCTGTATTAGTGGTATAGTTGTAGAGCGAATGGGTCGGCTCGACCGGGGAAGGACCACGCTCTCACAGAATACCAGCGTAAAATAGCAGCTTAACGCTGCTGTGTTTCGTATGTTGAGTGAAGAAAATCAGAGACCCTTTTTACTGGAAACGAGGCATTCCATCTTAGTCCTCACGGGTGACAACGCATCTGCATTATGATTCGTAATTGATGATAGATGTAGATGTCTATGGGCCACAGCAACCACTTACCATCAGGTGGACTGTGTGCTCGTTTGTCACCTTTATTTTAAAAAAATGTTGCAGCGGGGCTCTACTACATAAAAAGCTAGAAGCAGTGCCTGTCCTTGTGATGGATATGATTCAAACACCACAGAAGCAGGTTTTTGTTTATAGCGACTCCAGTATTGACGCGCCGTCAATATGGTCGTTTAGAGCGCACGGCAGGGCAGGCGGGTCACGCACCCCGTGCGTGCTAAATTAATAAAAATCACAAATGTAGGTGCATCATATAAAAAATAACCAAAATATCCTAAAGAGTCAAACAAAATATAAACATAGCAATAATTTTTTATAGGGAATCACAAAAGTGCACACAGTTCAGTTAATGGCAAATGGATGCCAACACTTACATCTATTCCCGATTATGGACGCAAAAGTTGTTGTACCTCTGAATTCTAAGATATTTTTAATTCTATTTTAACTAAGGGACTTCCGTTATTTTTAACATATCGCTGTACCATAAAAATAGAGAGTGCGTGCTCGAGCGTGGTTGCGAGCTCATGCGTGGTTGTGATCTCGTGCTTGCTTGTGCGTGGTTGCGAGTTCGTGCATGCTCGTGCGTGGTTGCGAGCTCGTGCGTGCTTGTGCGAGATAGCGAGCTCGTGCGTGCTCGTGCGTGGTTGTGAGCTCGTACGTGCTTGTGCGTGGTTGCGAGCTCGTGCGTGCTCATGCGAGCTCGTGCATAGTTGCTTGCTCGTGCATAGTTGCTAGCTCGTGCGTGTTGGTTGCGAGCTGTTGCGTGTGACAGGCGACAGCAATCACCGCGTGGCGCTGGAAGGCTACCAGGTGTCGGGGCAGTGCCAGGCGCTGGTGCGCGACGGCATCCTGCTGCCCACGCGCGACGCGCCCGAGCTAGGCTACATTCGCGACTGCAGCCCCAACCACTACGTGCCCGATGTCTACTACAAGGTCAGTACTGCACAAGAGCGTTCTCTGCATTGTCTTCCACTTTCGAGAATAGAATAAAATCATTTTTATTAATTATAGATTACAAGAATACTTATTACGAAGGGCACCTGCAACCAACTCCAAACAAAGACGGCTACACATGCGTTGTCACCTCTGAGAACTAAGATGCAATAGCTCACAGCTTGTAGTTACAGTGGCTGTCCATAGCCTCCAGTCCAGATACAGTAGTGTGTGCACTGCTGCTTAGGTGCAGAAATAGGTAGAAGGTGTTAGCTACACAGAGTGATACCTGGACAGAGAACGAAACCAAACCCGGTAAGGATTTTACAGCATATGCTGTAAATCTAAGTTTGCTAGCTAGTTTAGATATATGGGCCACTTCGCGTCAGCTGCAATTCCGAGAAAATCATTGGATTATACAAGTCTCAACTCCAACATTCAAAAGCACTAAAGTATTCAGGTGTTTAACATTTAGTGATTTGAATATAACACATTTAGCTTTATTAACGTGCATAAGGAAACTGTTTCTGTATATTCAACCTCGTCATATTTTAAACATTCATGTTTAAGGCTGAAAATCGACAAATTATTATCAGTAAATTAAACTTTATCATGGTCATTCCATACCAGGTAAGGTAAGTCATTAATATAAACTGAAAACAGAAATGGGCCAAATTTAAGCCCTGAGGAGCATCTACATGTATTACCCACGAGGAAAATGTACTGCTAATGTATTAAGATAATTATAAATTTAAGCGCTAAGTTCTTTTTTCATAATGTTGTAGGTTCCTGATTAAGGTCTTATAGAGAACACAGTCAAAAGCCTGGAAAAGATCACTAAATATTTCCAAACCATTTTTTTTAAATTCACCCATGCTCAGAAAATATGTTAAATCAGCTCAACACCTCTATCAGTTTCGAGCAACCCCTCGTAAAACCGAAGTGATTTTTATGTAGCACTTTATTTACATTAAAAATACTTAACACTCGATCTAAAAATAATTTATTCAACGTGTTAATATTTTATTATATTAGTTCAAGTTAACAACGTGCTGCCGCGTTGTCGGTGTTTAACTCCTCAGCCTGGCGTGTTTAGTTTTATAGTTTTCGTGTTAATTTCTCCATTCAATAATAACTTCTTTTTGAAAATTTTCTTTTTAATTTGTTACATGAAAAGGGTTGCGTATAAAGAATCTAATAGGGAACCGAATAACACCCTCTCGGATCGGACAGGTGTATTAATTATTTATTTGTACCTATTCTTCATAGCTTAGAAAGATATGGCCTATACTTAGGTTATTTCTGTCAAAAACTTTTTATAAAATTAATGATACACTTTTTGATAATTATATATAAATTGAAAGGTAATTTAACTTACAATACAATTTTATTTATATTATTCAAAATGCCCTCTTCTATTTTGAATACATGCCCTTAATCGACGCGGCCAATCATCAATCGCAGCACGCACCACAATCGTATCTATTTCTGCCGCTGCTTTAGCCAAAGATGCTCGGAGAGATTCCAGATTCTCATGAATATTATTGCCATATCTTATAATCTAGTGGGCTTAAATCTGTACTAGAAGAGGGCCAGTCTTTATGTCTGATAAAGTCCATGGGCGGTCAACCAGTTTTGCGTACTTCGTGCCCTATGAGCTGGTGCAGAGTCCTGTTATCCAATGTCTGTTTTTGAACATAGTTTGAGAAAGAGGTTCCATTATGTTTGTTAGGACGGTATTTTGGTACACCTCGGCACTGGTTTTTACACCTTTTTCACAGAAAAACACCTCAGTTAAGCCTGAATATAAGACCAAGCCAAACCATGAGTGACGACGATAATGTGCTCGTTGAAACCTCGGAATACGCGTGCTGGCTTCTTCACTGCTGTGGCCATACACTTTATCATTTTGTTTATTATAACTCTTCGATGTTAAAAAAAAATTCACCCGAAAACAAAATTTCGCGGTATATTTCCCGTGTAACTGCCGTAACAAAGCGCGGGGTCTATTCAGCCTAATTTTTTTCAAACGCTCGTTCAAAAATGTCCGTACAATAAGCTCGTAGTCCTAGGTCTTTATTGATAACTCTTTTGACCGTGTTTCTGTTTCGTGGTATGTATGGAATGGATATCTCAGTCGGTCGATATCTGCTCGAATCGTAATGTTGTTTGATTACTCGTATACACACACACTTAATAATTTCTTGGTTAAATTATAAGCCTAACGCAAATTAGTGCTGATAATATAATTATTATTAGCGAAATAAAATACCATATTCATAGCATGCGAAAATAAAAAGCATCCAAGGATGAAACGAATATTAAAATAATAAAAAAAACATAAAACTTTTCGCAGTAGTTGTTATAATTATAACATAATTTCAACTGTATTAAACTTATACGCGATCACAAGTGCCGAAACGAAGTCTATCAAATGTTTGTTTATATCTATTTATTAATTACAATAAGTACAATCATTTGCAAACACAACGAATCTTGCATCTCTTCGGATGATAAGCTAAAATAGACGTTATTGTATTGATTTAACTAACGTCTATTCTTTAACGTCTCACAGATTCTCTCGTTTACTCGCTTTCGTATGTTCTCGTTCGTTCGCTCTTTCGTTCGTTGTGAAAAGAGCTATTAGACCGAGTAACAATCAGCGATCGTTATATTCATTCATCGTTCGCGAACTACATAAGACTATTATTTTGACATTACAAACAGACACTTGTAGGTTGCGTGGGCGAAATAAAATGAAGTTTTGCGCAGTTTATATATATTCCAAATTAAACGCAACACTTATAAGTTCAGAAGGAGAATAGCACAAGCAAAGATAGTTTGCAATAGTTTATACAGAAAGGAAGTAAACAGTAGAGAGAATAGGCAGAGAAAGTTCACAGCAAAATTAGTAGTTAAAACAGTAGTAAAATACAGAGTATATAACAGTACATAAGCGAGCAAATTTTAGCAACGAGCAACACGCACTTCGTGTCAGGACCATGTTCCGACTGGCGGGAGGAGGAGGTCTGTAGAACTCGCATGATGCGCGCGAGTCGAACGAGTCGTCAACAAAGAAACCGGTCTCGGTATGGAAGTTTTCATTCGCGGTATAGGTCACGACGGCGCGCTGGCTGTTGCTATGTGTATAACAGAGGAAAATCAACCTGGGGATGTGCAGCAGTTTCGTAATATTTTAGAAATTTAATTTCGGAACCTACATCGCAATTATAGCAGTTTTACGCCAGAATATCTACAAAATGTTTAGTAAATGCCTAATACATCTTATTATATTTAAATAATACTCGATTAAAATACTTATTATACTTTCTAATAATATTTTATTACATGGTAGAGCCACGTTACATGTATGCCGTTACATACGGTGGATGGTCTAATAATTCTATATTTTCTTGCTCTAAAAACTCTTTTGTTCTGTGTGCGGTGTGAGAACTCGCATTGTCGTGATGGAGGATGATGCGGCGGTTGCAGTTCTCTTTACGGAGTTCAGAAACGACCTGTAGCAAACAAATGCTAGCATACCATTCTGCATTAACCGTTCTTTGTCCCTCAAGAGGAATAGTCGTAACGTGGCTGGTTTTGGAGACAAACGTCATTTTTTTTGCAACATTCCGTGAACGAACAATTTTTGTTGGATTTAACTCATTTTCGAACACCCATACTCGTGACTGGTTTTTTGTTTCGGGTTCGTACGCGTATGTCGAGGATTCTGCACCTGATACGATGTTGTATACAGCATTTGAGGATCCTGCGTGAAATCTTTCGAGAGTTCTGACGCACCAAGTAACGCGAACCGCTTTTTGCTCTTCACAGAGCGAATGCGGTATCCATCGGGAAAACAACTTTTTTACACCTAATTGTTCATAAAGATTATTTGTATTTGACTCGTGCCAATGTCTAAAGTTGCCTAAAACAGAAACAGAAACAGAAACTTTTTTATTCAATGTAGATTATAAGCAATACATATTGAAAGTCAATTTTTTCATTTACCACTGGTTCGCAAAAAAAAAACCTCTGTCCTGGGAAGAACCAGCAAGAAATCCAGCGGGACAATTTTTTTTTCAAATAATAGCTTACAATCATGTTTAAAATTAACAACACAACACAAATTAGAAATAGCTTGGTAGCGATCACCCTTCCCAGGGGTTACTATCATCCATAAATTCCTTAATATTATAATAACCCTTTTTATACAAACTTAGTTTAATAACATTTTTGAATTTTGTGTATGACAAATTTTGTATATTTTCTGGGATTTTGTTGTAAAAGCGTTACATCGCCCCAAGAATGAATTACTGACTCGGTGGAGTCGAGTAACTGGTACTACCAGCTTGTGTCTGCTCCTAGTATTTACAGAATGAATATCACTTATTTTCGCTACTTTTATTTTTGTGTACGTACATTACATTTTCATAAATATATTGAGAGGCCAGAGTTAATATATTAATTTCCCGAAATTTTTGTCTCAGTGACTCTTTTGGTTTTAAATTATATATTGCTCTAATGGCCCTCTTCTGTAAAATAAATATAATTTCATTGTCAGTCGCGTGTCCCCATAGCAAAATACCATACGACATAATGCTATGGAAATAACTGAAGTAAACTATTCTTGCTGTTTCAACACTGGTAAGAGTTCTAATCTTTTTTACAGCATATGCTGCAGAACTAAGTCTGCTAGTTAGTTTTGATATATGGGGGGAGCCATTGAAGCTTTGCGTCCAGTGTGATTCTAAGAAAAATTGTGGTATCAACAAGACTCAGTTCTTCCCCATTTAAAATTACATTCGTATTAACATGTTTGACATTAGGAGTTACGAATTTCATACATTTAGTTTTAGTTCCATTTAAATGCAAATTATTAACATTAAACCAATTGACTACCTTAGCTATAGCGTTATTTACTTCGTCGTAATTTATTAATACATAATACATAAACACTCACGCCTGTCACCCAGAGGGGAGGCAGAGACTACAGACTTCCATTAGCACGATCCTGGCATACCTTTCTCGCCTCTTCCACATCCATATACCTACGC